AGCGTCGGAGCTGCAACTGAGAAGGCTCTCCTCCGCGTAGTCGCCAGTCGGCACTGAACAGCCTTGCCAGGGTGATGCCCGGGTCCCTCGCTCCCTCTGGGCAGGAGGGTGGGGGCCCTTCCTTTAGCCAAAGCCTCCCAGTCTGGTGCTGCTGAGGCCCCGGGGGAGCCGTTTCCAGAGCCAGCCCTGTCAGCAGTGGGGCTCCTGGGCTGCCAACAGATGGTTTGAGGACTGCCAGCGGGTGCAACCGGAGAAGAGTGGCAGCAGCCTCCCTTATGCCACCCATGCAGCCTGCTGGAGGGCAGACAGCTGTCACTGCAGCTGTGCCCAACTGCTCTTCTGCAGCAGTGGGGCAGGCTGGGCTCCCACAAGCTCTGCAGCAGCTGGTCCTGGCATGGCTGAATCTCAGCGCCACAGAGCGGGCCCTGGTGTGCCAGGGAAGGAGGCCGAGGGGAGGGCGTAGGACAGCTCATGTGGACATGCATGGGCACCTCAACTGGCCAACCTGACTAGGCCAGACACCCTTATTACATCTAGACTATCCGTCTAGACTAGCACCAGGCACTCTAGTTGGGGCTGCCCTTGGAGGCCATTCTGGAGCGGCAGCTGGTCCAGATGGTAGCAGCTCAACCAAGCCTCACTTCCCAGAGGTGCCAGTTGCAAGGTGCCACATTTAAAGCCTGGTGGTTGGCAGCTCCCTACCTATAGAAGGGGCTGCTCCCAAAGGTTTCTTCCTAGCCAACGTGATTGGGAAGAGGGGATCCCTCAGGATTCCCCATCAGAACCAAGAATCTTGGAGGCTTCCTGAGCAGATTGCCCCCCCCCCCACTTTCTTTCACACACACACATGCAGAGAGGGGGAGGGGAGAGAAGGGAGGGGGAGGGACTGGGGGAGCATCTCCTTTTCCCTGGATATGTTGGGATTTCGGAAGGGGACCGAAACTCCTCTCTGGGATGAACTAAAAGGGATTCCTTGGCGTAGCGGTTCTTACCACAGAATTTGATCAGCTGCCTCCTGGGGATGGTTAAATCTTGCTTGTTTGTGATCAGGTGTGGCTGCCGCCACCTGGGAGCCCTGCAAGGAAACCCCCCCCCCACTGAAGAGGCAGGGAGGGGCCAATGCAGTCAGGCCTTCAAGATCCTGTTACTGAAGCCTATAACAATAGAGTCCCACTAGAGTCTTGGGGAGTCGGTTTTCTCATTCGTCCTACCTCACAGGGCTGGCTCTCCCTCTGCGCCATTTCCCAGAATTTGTTTTCGCAGACACACACACACACACACACACACACACGGGGCAGAGGAAGGGTGCTGCTTCCTCCTCCTCCTCTCGCCCAGGTGATGCAAGCAGAGCCCGCTTTGTGACTTCACAGACCAGGGGGCCTTCTGTGCTGGTGTCCTGCCCTGCTGCCTCCAGGACCCTGGGGGAAAACCCTCCTCCGGAGCTCCCCAACTGGCTCCCCCCTGTCTCTCCTGGCTCCCCTCATGGCCCACCCTGCCACGGAGCCCTTGCGGGCCAGCCCCGCAGCAGGCAGGACGGACAGCGGAGGGACCCCGAGTCTCAAGATCAGCGAGGCGGATGCCAACTGGGAACTGATCCGGGACAAGGTGGGACCCGCAGGGCCGAGCTGGCACCGGGGAGGGCTCTGGGTCCAGCCTGGATGTGTCAGGGGCAGCAGCAGCAGCAGCTGGGGCAGAGCAGGAGGCCTGCACGCCCTTGGCCTGGATGGGGAGGGGCACAGCAGCTGCAGGACGGTTCCAGGGGCAGCCCTCACCTGGGGGGGGGGGTGTCCTTGCCAGCAGAGCCCTGGACACCTGGGCCCATTTGGCATTGGGTGAGCTAACGGTTCTCTTGATTGGTGGGGATCGCTCCAAAATCCATCAATTTGAAAGAGGAGGAGGAGGAGGGAGAGATGCAATCTGAAACGATGGCAGCCAAATGAATGAGATCCTGGGAGGAAGAGGAAGGTCGTTCACGAATGAAATTGAATCTGTGTCCAGGGATGATAATGTTGTGGGATCCAATCTGGGTCGGTCTTTAGGCTTCCCAGCTTTCGGACTCATGCTGGAGCCCCTCCGGGGGGAGCCTCTCTCTAGCAGAAGGGGGGGGGGTGCTTTGGGCTGTTCTGTGCATGTGTTTACATGGTTCCTCTTGTGTGGGGCTTTCCAATCAACACCTAAAAAGCCACCCACTGCTAGGTACACTACCAGGTACCAAGTAAATGCCCAGAACAGCCCAAAGCCCCCACCCCTCACCTCTGCTGGAGAGAAGCTCCCTCCGGATGGGCTCCAGCAAGGGGCCCCAAAGCCTAAAGTTCCTGGGGATCGGCCCAGATTGGATCCGGCAGAAAGAGCATTTCTCCAGGCCAAACTAATATCCGGTTTGACTCAAGCTGGTCTTCTGCCCGATCGCCAGTCGGGTGATCAATAGGGGAGGACTTTTAAGCCCAACCAGAGGGAAGCGGCCCAGAGCTCAGCCTTGGCCCGTGTGTGTGTGTGTGTGTGTGTCTGCAGGAGGGATGAACCACCCAAGAGGAAAAATGCCAAATCCCGCCTGGACTAAGACAATGGGAAGCCGCCTCCAGACCGGCATTGTTGCCAAGAAAACTGGGTAGATGTGTTGGCACCATTAAAGCCAGATTGGGCAAGAGCTGTTCACGGAGGGTGGGGGAGGACGCCTACTGGAGAAGGGGCTCTCCGCAAGTAGCAGGAGCGATGGAACTGGAGGAGCGAACCAGAGGGACTTGGCAGGGCTCCAAGGGGCAGCCGATGCTGCTGCTGGCGGCCGAGGGAGGGAGCGGCTCTTGGCTTCTGCAGCCGATGTGCCGTCTTCCGTTCTGAAGAGAAAACCAGGAGGGGAGGGGCTGGGGGCTTGAGTCTCCTCGCGGCAGCCCATCCCCCAAGGTGCTTCTTAAGCTCTGTCACTTGAAGGACTTCGATTCCCAGAATCCCTGCTGGCTGTGGAATTCTGGGAATTGAAGTCCCCAGATCTCCAAGGGTGAGAAAGGCTGGCCTGTTGGGTGAGATGGGAGCCTTTGAAGACCTGCTGATCCTCCTGGTTTTC